TTGCTGCTAGCATACATAACACCTGACGTGGAAACGTTACTCATGGACGGGGCTGCAGAGCTGCTAGAAAGACAGTGGAACCCGGTGCATTCCTCCGTCTGGATGTGGAGCACTTTTGATAAATGTTTAGACACATTGCTCGTGTTTCCGCCCTCACATGCTGAACTCTTATTGCACTTTAGGCAACGAGCATCGAGACGGGTAAAGTTTAACCACCTCGGAGCGCGTTCTCTCCGCCATCTTGTGTGTGTGTGTGTGTGTGTGTGTGTGTGTGTGTGTGTGTGTGTGTGTGTGTGTGTGTGTGTGTGTGTGTGTGTGTGTGTGTGGGTGTGTGTTGTGTGTGTGTGTGTTGGTGTGTGTGTGTGTGTGGTGTGGTGTGTGTGTGGTGTGTGTGTGTGTGTGTGTGTGTGTGTGTGTGTGTGTGTGTGAGAACTGCCCCGCCCCCACGCAAGCAGACGGGGGAGAGAGATCGAAAATACTAAAAAATAATCATAGATGCATTCTGCAGTCTCTTTGCGTGTTAGAAACGGAGTTGGCGAAACTAAAACTGCAATATAATGTTTGTGTAGCAATAATTCATGAGACATATATTTTGTACATGTCTCCAGTACCGATAAAAAGACCGCTAACGTCGGAGCTTAACGGTACCACTGTCTTTAATAATTCAGCCCCGGGGCCCGTTTAATACCGGGGCTCGGTACCCATCCCTACCGGACACCCCCCTTCCCCCCTCCACTCCCATTGCTCCCCGGGCGCTGTACAATAGCTGCCCACTGCTCCTAGTACTAGACTCCTGGTTAAATGCAGAGAACACATGTCACTGTGTGTGCTGTGTGCTCTGCATGTGTGACCATTAAAGAGGGTTTCATCCCTTCTATTCTATTTAAAAAATCAGACTCAGAAAATGCATCAAAAATAATCACTTGCCTCTCAGGGCTTCCATATAAATACTTGTTTATTTCTTGTTTGCTTACCTCCATTGCCCTTTATCTAAAAACACCTGCAAGTCAAACATTGATGTTTTCAATGACCCAGAGAGCCTTTAGATAGTTTCTAATAACAACTCTTGTGTAATGGTATTAACAGGGTGTTGTTTCACCAGCTGCTGTTCCCATACATATGCTCCATTCAACACACTGTGAACTGTGGTTGGTTGACAGCTTTGTTAGTAAGGCACAGGCTGGATGGTTTGTTCATATTGAAAAACACACTTCCCCTTCTTCCTGTCTTTCATTCCCCTTCAGTAATCTCTCCTATAGTACTCCTTTGCCCCCCTTTCCTCTCACTCCCACCTCCTCTTCCTCTCTGCTCATTCATGTGATGCGGAGGTAGTGTAAATGATTTCCTGATCCAACACTGACCTCCATGTTTTCTGTGTGTTTGTCCCTGCAGGCCTGTGGCAGAGGGTCAGAGCTCCATCATGTTGTCTCTAGCTCCTCCATCTTCCTCCGACGCACCGTCTGCTCTCCGTCCAAACAACTCGCTCTCCAACCGCAAGCCGGGAGTCCTGCCTGCCAACCTGGAGGAGATGAAGGTAGCTGCAAACCCCCTCACTGCACATCTTACATTTATATTCAATCAATCAATCAATCAATGTTGGACTTCAGAGTTTGTACAGTATGACAATACGACACCCTCTGTCCTTGGACCCTCACATCGTACAAGGAAAAACTTCCAAAGAAACCCCCCAGTTTAAAGGGGAAAACACTGGATACTGATCTGTATCACCCTCTTACATTTGTACATTTGCATTTGCAGGTGGCTGAGTTGAAACTGGAGCTGAAGCTGCGCGGCCTCCCTGTGTCGGGAACCAAAACTGATCTGATCGAGCGGCTGAAGCCTTTCCAGGAGAACCACAACACCTCCGCTCCGAGCAACAACTCTATCTCCACCACCAACATGCAGATGGAGGTCAAAACCAGTGTCCTTTCTCCACATGAGAACATGAACCCAACATCGCCACTCTCACCAATCCCCTCCGAGCGCTCCACCCAGGACGGAGGAAAACCTGAGACTCCGTCATTTGAAACGCACATGGTGACCTCCAACTGGACCCCCACCTTCCAGTCTTTCCAAATCCCCCAGGAGAAGGACAGGCGGCTGCACGAGAAGGAGCAGCAGATCGTGGAGCTGATGAAGAAGCTGGAGCAGGAGCAGAAGCTGGTGGAGGAGCTGAAGATGCAGCTGGAGGTGGAGAAGAGAGGCTGCTCAGCTGACTCTCCCACCGTCACCTCTCTACCTGCCGTGAATCTCCTGAACTCTAACGTGGTCAAAATGGAAGGAGCACTGCTATCAAACTGTGCATCCACCACTGCTACCATCCCTAATCAGATCCTGGGCTCCACCTCTCTCTCTCCTCGGCCCACCGTGGTGAAGTTGGAGGATCTGACTGTTTCCTCTGGGAAGCCGATCCAGATTCAGACCCAGACGCAGCTCATCTCTCAGATCCAGCCTCAGATCACCAGCAGGAGTCCCAAACTGCAGACCCAGCAGTTCTTCA